TTTGCCGTAGATGACTATCCAGACTCTGCTGTGGACTAATCTTCTGTAATAGTATAGGCCTGAGCAACAAATTTTACTATTCTTTCAATTTTGTAATTCTTTTTAGAGGATGAGTTTAATCTCCTCTTGTAATTCTTTCAATTAGTCATTTCTTGCAATCTTTTGTCCAATTTTACTTTTTCATACTTAGGGGGAGATTGTTAGCTCTAATATTTACTTTATGTAAAAGTATGAAAAAGTATTCTGCAAGTGTTGATAGAAAGGTATCTTCCACAGAAGACAACAGAGGACCAGCAACAGAAGATGTTTCATCGTGCAAGTCAAGAATGACAGAACCTCTGATGTCTCTCACAGAGGTTCTGGAAAATGGTCCTCTGGCAATAAGAACCTACAAGTCAATTTCAAAAGTGCCTCTGAGATGGCTCACAGAGGGTCTGCGGATTCGTCTTCTGTGAAGATCTTGTTATGCTGTTTTTCAAAGGTTGTTAGCTGCATGTGCTTCTCACGTGACTAGATTTTAATAGACTTTATTTGGATGGCTTAGATGATTTCTTTTTCTAGATCTGTCAGTAAGGTCGTTAGGGTCTAGTATAAATAGCAGCTTATGCCTTTGTATTCAGTGTGCTTCCGTATTGTAATCGTCTATATTTTCAATCAATTGAAAAACCATTGAAGCTATTCTATTGCGTTCATCTTCTTCATATTAATCTGTGTGTTCTTGGTTAATTACTCTGTTTTGTTCTTATCATTGTTTTCGCTGCACTGTAATCGTCCTAGAGATCATTTAGAGTAAGAGTTCAAATACCAAAGCTGAATTTACAGGTCCTAACAAATGAAAGGGGATAAGTAACAGAAAAAAATTGTTCCAAATACAAAATTGATACATAAATTAAATCGATATAGAAAAGTGGCATAAAATCAACAATGACCATCTTCATCAATGTGTATGATATGCTACACATAGCATAGGAATAAAGCTCTGCATATATACCACAAGCTGGGAGTCCAAAAGACTACTTTATAGACACACCAACATGTTGATTTCACGACCTTGTTTAGACTTGGAGAATTAATACTCTAGCATATATTTAGATGGGTTATACTCTATTTCAATATGAATATAAGATAATAATCATGTTACTCTTACCTAATGCATATTCGCATAGACCAAGAATCTTACCCGGTAAGAGCAAAGACAATGATCGAGAGTCTTACCTGGTAAGTGAGGGCAGCAAATTTTTTGACGATTAGCACTTACCGGGTAAATTGTTGCATACGATACCGTTTTGATGGACTAAAATCATAACCGGTAAGTAAGTGATAGAGTTGATTTTTCTAGTATGCACTTACTTGGATAAGCGTCGGTAAACCCCTAAGAGGCACACAATTTCCATTATTTGAGGCAAAAAAAGCAAATCATGCTTAACAACAAGAGAAGGTTGATGTATATCTAAAATGTGCATCTGTTCTAAACTCAATATATCTCAAAGTACTCAATGACCCTACTTGGATTGCAACCCAGTGGCCATAAGATCATACGTCCACCATTTTTCAAGAGGATTAACTATAACAACAAAGAATAAATGGTAAATTAATAACAATAACATACATTAAAAGAGACGACCATAGATTCGAAAACCCAACATAACTTTGCCATGCTGAAAGATTCAAAACTAACAAGTCCAAGTACAAAATCAATCAAATGTTTTCTGATTCCAGAATCATGTGTAATACAACAAACAAATGTGGTAGGCTGATAAGGATACTGTAGGTCGTCTTTAACTTAATGGAAAACTTAATGTTGTTGCTACCTACCTTGTAAATGACTCCTCTGGCTTGAACCTCTTTTATCACTCCACATAAAATTGATTATCTTTTCGTGATTGATAACCATTTCACTTGTTATGTTCATCAACTTGATTAACCATAGAAGTTGGAAGAATCGCAAGTAGAGTACCATATAATTAAATAGTAGTATTCATATAAAAACAAATCTCTGATGCAATATTCAACTTATCGAACACTTGAAGAAGTTCTTTACAGGATACCGTAGAACACTCAATTAACACCAACACGCTTGATTTGAGAAGGATAAAAAAACAGGCAGAATAACCAACTACATCAATCCACACCTCAAAGCAAAACATACCAGTGCACTATTACGTGAAACTTAAGATCCAGAAGATCTTTGGCTTGCAGAATGCTCTGGCGAGGAAACTATATTAACAATAAATATCACAATGAATCAACCATATGAATAATCAGAAGGCAAGAAATTACTTTTGGGGCGAGAAAAACTCCGAGCTCCATAAAGCAAGCAGAATAGATGTAAGCCTGTAGAGGAGTATAACAAAAATGGAAGTTGTCAATAATTTTCGACTCGAGACCTCACCTACAATGAATAATTGAAAAACACATATATCATCTTCTAACAAGAAACATAACAACAATGGTTTACTTTCTCTTAAGCATTTAAAAAAAATTCATATGCATTAGATCTGGATGCAAATGTACAATAAAGAGACAACAAAGGTAGACCAAACATTGAAGTAAGAAGTACTCAAAATTCTTGAAAATTATTGTTGCAAAGAGCATTTAAGAAGTCCCTCAGAAGAACATTTACACTTGTATAAACCCTTTGACACTTTCTCAGTAGACACGAAGATTATTTATTTGTTCTCAGCTTACATTTTGCAAATGCTTCGATTGAGGTTCCATATAGTAATAAATTAAGTTTTCCATACAATGCTACAACATCCAACCTAATCAATTATTTACGTAACCGAATATGAAAATGACAAAGAAGAGATCAGAGAATAGAAGTACTAACCTCAAATTGGAAGAAGATTAAGCGAAACTCTAACCGTATGAGAGAAGCTATCAAGAATCGAATTAGGAGTGGAGATGGAAGCAAGAATCGAATCAAGAGTGGTTTTGAACGATGAATCTCACATTGGAGATTGGATCGACAACTTATGGAAGATTAATTTTTCGTCTTGGGCCTTGGGGACGTATTACATCTAGCGGTCTCTTTGGGAAGATAAATTTTTAGTTGGAGTTTGGTATTGACAACTTGTAACTTATACATTATGAGTTGGTTTTAACACTTTACATATAAATGGGTAGTACTCTATGCATTAAAAATTATTTTTAAGACTTTTATAAAATCTGGTTTATAAGATGGTATAGATACAAGTTTTGATTTCAATCATGTTATAGATTTAAAAAAAAAGTCATCTAAAAATAAGAGAATCCTATGAGTCAAACTAATAAATTGACACAAATGCATCAAATCCATCTTTCTTATACACCAGAGTTTGATCAAATATTTGAATTTCTCATCAATATGGGACAACTAAAACTGAATCCTAATTCACCATTTGAGAATAGTCAATTCTTATGGTGCCACCTTAATACCCGAAAATTTTCCTTTTAAATATATAAAGATATTGATTGATTTTATTATCATTGTGTGAACTAAACATAAGATTTAATTAATTTGGTCAAAAGAATTATTCATTCCAATTTCTTCAAAATCTATAAACCTAACACCCCGTAACATTAATCCGAGAATAATTAAATAAGCAAAATGACAATCTTTACAAAATAATTTTTCAGAAAGGAAAAAACAAAAGCAATTAAAAGGTACACATGGAAAATGGTTAGAGTTTGAATTTCTAAGTAAAATAGACTCGGCATTTCTTTTCTTTATAACTTGTTATTAACAACCCATCTGGTCCGACTCCAATTAGACAGTTCGCATGCATCTTGTGGTTCTTGCTTTCCCATGTGGCCACCTTGAACCTCATGGATGTTACAACCTCTAGCCGAAACGACACCATCCCACGCATCCGATCAGCGACAAACTGTGTCCAACGTGCGGTATCAACCACCAACGTGGATCCAGAGAACGTGCCATAGAGAACGGTCGTGTTCTTAGGAGATTGATAGAAAGGAAACAGTAATGGCATTTCCCCAATGTTCTGATCCTGATAGTATAGTGTTAGGTGCATAGTATCATAGTAAATCCCGATATTGAGATTTGCATTTCGCGCAGTCACATTGAAGGTTGCTTGAGCAGTTGCAAAGCCATTATCTTGGGCTATACTGGGGATTGAGAATTCATGGATATGATATCTTGGACGATGTGGGCGTAAACTGAGCCATAAGATGAATGTTATGAGGCCTACGATGAACAGAAGACTAAGAAAAACTGAACATATTAGCTTCGAGACACGAGTGGTTAGGCTTTCTTTTACACGGTGGACATAATATCGGGCGGTGTGATGCCGCCTTAATTGGCGACCTTCATTAACGTGGGGTCGATTAAGGCGGTCATCAGGGGTGAACTGGATTGGGATTTGTTGGTGTGGTGTGTTCATTGTTTTTCCGGCGAGTGATCGGAGGTTTTTGGTGGTAAAGATCGATGAACAGAAGCATTGTTGGTGTAGGGTTTCTTTATATGAAAAACAAGAATAAGGTGGCCGGAGAAGAAAGGGATGCCAGTACTCTTTTGGTTCTAGAAAGGAAGGAATATTAATCAGTTCATTGTAGTGTAGAATGGGTCATCTTATATATTCTCAATGGTGTATTGAGGTGGTACATGATGCTACTCTTGTGTGTACAATAGAAGTTTTTGGTATATCTTGATATGCACTCTAAGTATATGTATATAGGCATTTCCTATCGATCGTACCTTATATTATCATTTTGTGGGCTGTTAGAAACAAGGGCATTTAAGATAGTAATCTATTATTATGAATTTTCTTTATTATAATATTATATTTTTTATTTTTTTTATCATAGAAATATATTTTTAAATTATCTTTTATTAAAACGCTCTACTATGAAAATTTACCTATTATAGCAATATGGGCCTAATCAAATAAGAACTAGATAGTTTGTGGTAACCGTGAGATCCAATGTTAGTCACTCATTTAATATAACTAATACTCTTTTTAAAATAAATTAAAGGATAATTTTGTAAATTGGCAATTTGGAAACCAACTCACTGCCTTAATAATGTTGAAACCCACCGTTCTAATTTAATAATGTTGAAACCCACCGCCATCCACCATCTATGGGGAACCAACCCCTCCCCACGGCCACTCACCATCTCCATCGAACCAGCCTCTCCCCCACAGCCACTCACAATCTCCGTCGAACCATCCTCTTCACCTCTAACACCACCATCACCATCCGCTTTTTTGTTTTCATCTTGCTATTCCCACCACCATCTGCCACCTACTACCCTACTGACATCCACCTACTACTGTCGACGAGTTCAAACAGGTGACCCAAAGGTAAGCATTTGGTAATGGGGTGAGCAAGACCGACGAATTTTTCTCTTTAGTTTGGATCTTGAAAAAGATGGTGGAGATACAAATATGATTTCCAACTCCAATGTCCCTTCCTGTCCCCATACCTCGACCCAAACCATCATGCTATGTCAATCTAACCTCATCCCTCTATCTCTCTATCTCTCTCTCTATCTCTCTCTTCAAGCACAGATCTGTGAACTTAAACTAGGCTTCTCACCATCTTCAACTGTCTTTATCCCTCTGTTTTTCCTCTCTTGTTTAATCAAATCAACATTGATGATGAACTTCCAACGACGAGAACTGATCAGAAGTTGGACAAGGAAAGCATGTTCTTTCGATCAACAGGATCTCCTACGAAATTTCCGAAGTAGATCTAAACGTACGTGAAGAGATTTCGCGTCGGTTTCTCCGCCCCCGAACTCCTCGTATCTTATAGGATTAATTGATTAAAAGGTTCTGATTTTTGGGTATCACAATATATATTCATCAACCATATTTGGTATCATAGTAGTATTCATCAACCATATATGGTATCATAGTGGTATCACAATGTGTATTGTAGTATGTGTTCTTTTTTGTTTTATAAAGTGCATCATAATTATTTTGTTGTTCAAGTGTAACACAATGTATCAGGTTAGTGTTGTTTAAGTGTATCACATCGTATTTTTTCGTTAATTTATGAAGGGTATCACAGTGTGCATCATTTCTTTGCCGGAATAAGGTTCGTCGGAGAGATGAATAAAGTTCGCCGGAGAGAGGAGATTTTAGAAAGACCTAAAATACCCTTTAATTGAATTTTTAAGTCAAATTACCAAAATTATTAGTTTACTAATTTATCCATTAATTCGTGGTTGAGATTGGATCTCACAATTACCACAAACTAACTAGTTCTCCCTTGAATAACCCTCTATAGCAATATATAACCTTTAATTTCAAAGAAGATGGCATGACATAGATTAGGGGAGTGCTAATGGCACCCCCTTAATAGGGGGTGTTGAATGCCTCGGGAATTACTCCATCAAATGTCATAGTCAATTATAATATATTATATTTATTATTATTATTATTATATATATATATACACACATATGTATATATCCAATTATAATTTTAAGTTGTATTATCTAACTATTTTATATTTTTTATTATTATTATTATATAAAC